TTGTCTTTACGTATTATCTAAATATATTATGTATGATATTATGTATTACACACACACATATATACATACATACATATATATACACACACACACACACACACACAAACACACACACGCATACTCATCAATACCGACTGCATGAAGTGACAAAGTGGTAATGACTTTGTAGAATTTAATATGCTATATTTTTTTAAACCTACTTCCTTTACTCTCTATTCTATAAAAACGTCGTCATGCCAGTGGACTGCCTAATGAAAGCATAATGAAAATACTAGGAATTACATTACAATATGTGGCTTTCATCCTTGTGACATTCTTAAAAAAAGAATCAATTAGGTCAGCAAGAATATTCAATGAGCATAAATGCACAAAAATGCAAAACGGATTTATGAAATACGGATGTCCTAGAAATACAATTCCCTTCCTCTAGTCCAGTTTGGGTCATTTCAGACAATTCCGCTGCTTCAGGATTTATTAAACTAGAAAACAGATAAAATCTGTTAATATTCACCCGAGCTGATGAGTAGTTGGAAGCACCTTTTTTATGCACAGGCATTTTATACAGAGTTGGAAGAAATAGAACGTCACCTCCACTGTACAAAGCGCAATACTGGGTGCATACTGCAGTAATCCAGAGCAACAAAAATAATACATCTGACCATTAAATGATCATTTCCATGAGCAATACTGTATAATATAATTCAGGAAATGGTGCTCCATGATTGCCAAAGCTTATATAGAAATCATACATCACCTATCCATTGCTATTAGATTTCTATAGTCAGATCCATTCATATCCTAGATGCCTTATCATTCACCATTTGTATGCATTTTACAAATCCACTGCACCTGATCTCAAAGCTCGAGTAACCTTAGAAGAATATAGACCAATCCACTCCAGATATGAGGAGTGTCAATGTTTAACCTATCTATCCACGTATGCTATTTTGACACAATGTTCATTTTGGGCTGAAATATCAGACATATTAGATTTAGCTGTGGAATAAACTGTACTATAGTAAGTCTATTACAAATGACATGGATATCATCATTTTTATATACAACAAAACCTAGAATCCTTGTTTTATCGATTCAATCCTGTTACGGCGGTATAAATACAGAGAGCGTTAGTCAGAGCGTCTAAGAAATATATATTGTTTTGTTCAATTGTCTAATATAAATGCTTACAGTCTAATACTCCAGGAATGAATGCTCTTCTGTGTATACAGCCTGCACTAGTAGGGGCTGTGTATGTTTTCTAGGAAAGTCTACTGAGGGACTGATGTGGAAATAATAACAGTGCTGACCTCTAGTGTTTGGAAAAAAGAGTTATCGAGACATTTAATCCATTGTTGATTTAAAATAATGTAAATCGTTGATGACGTTATTAATGAGGATTACTGTGTATCAGAGAAAAAGAAAATGTAACCCTTGGGCCGCTTGGTGCGATCACTCCTTATTCTAGGGACAACACACAGATTGAAAGAGAAGAAAATGATTCTTTAAAATGCCTACAGACATAACATCACCAACTGATAAAAAAAAAAAAAGGATTTTGACAAATATGCTTCATAAAAGAACAGAGTATAATTGCTATATAGCAAAGGTAGGCAACCTCTGCACTCCAGCTGTAGTGAAACTACAAATGCCATCATGCTTCTGCCTCTAGGTGTCAGGCCTGTGGATGTCGAGTCTTGCAACGGCTCTTTGGACTTGTACTTCATAAACAGCTGGAGAGCTGAGGTTGCCTACCCTGCTGTCTAGCTTCTGAAACAAATATAAGAATAAAGAACATGGTGTTATGTCTGACTCTAGCATGAATGATTTAAGTGTACCTGCACTGCGCTCAAACCTAGGGTCATATGCATATTTTAGGGCAGGTTCATACCATTTTCCGGATCAGATCTGGAACGCAGTGCATTATGTTTGGCCACATATTTACCGTGATTTTTCCGTGTTTGGATTTTCTTTTAGCTTAAAATGGTCTTACAGGTGCGTTCCAGTGCGTATTCCAGCAGTATTTTTCTTGTCTGGAACGGACTGAGCTGGTGTGAACAGAGACCAGAAATAGCATAGGGATTAATTAAGATGCATTCTGGGTCCGGAAACAATCTGGCCTGGACTGGAGATGATCCGGACATGGTGTGAATGGGCCCTCAGAGCGGTGTATTTAAAATAAAATTCTGCTTGCTGGATGTTTGGTGTTCCTTCCAGCAATGCATATATACATAGGGATCAATGGCCACACATGTAAAAAGCAGTGCAATAAAACTGCACCATATAGAAAATGCAGAAAGTTAATTGTCGCCAAAATCACAGAGCAGAGGCCAGAAATGTATATAGGCATACAACATCAGATGTCCTTCAGGGAGCACCACAATCTTGGGTGCACATAACGTCCAAATCTCTGTTAGCTCCTGTTGCTAAAGTCTGGCCCTTCCTCTTCAGTAGGTTATGCTTGGTCAGTGAGGTGGCTTATCATAGTTCTGTACTACTAGTGCTGGTTAGCTAGCTGTCATGCTGATCCTTGGGCTTCAATGCTTTCAAAGTCATGGACCCAGAGCAAGCATGAAGGTCAGGACTTCATTAGCTGCATACTATTGGGTCCATCAGACAGCCAGGCAACTAGCATGTTCAAGAGGAAGACCAAACCAGTCACATATAAAAATAAGATCAAGCAATCATTTTTACTTTTCAAGTTACTTTTTTTTACCCCCCAACCCCACCCAGCTCCTGGATATTATATTCAGGGGTGCTATAAGGGGAAATTGTGAGCTGCTAATATGAAAAGTTGCACCTCTGGCCCCTCTGCACTCTCCACCATTCACAAATCTTCCATTACTATGATTCCACAATGCATCAAGTCCTGTGAAAGGCATTGTGGAATAATACTAAAAGAAGAACTGTGAATGGTGGAGAAGGCTGAGGGGGACAGGGCTAGTTATGCAGAGAAAAGAACTGTGAATGGTGGAGAAGCCTGAGGGGGGCAGGGCTAGTAATGCAGAGAAGAACTGTGAATGGTGGAGAAGGCTGAGGGGGACGGGGCTAGTAATGCAGAGAAAAGAACTGTGAATGGTGGAGAAGGCTGAGGGGGGCAGGGCTAGTAATGCAGAGAAGAACTGTGAATGGTGGAGAAGGCTGAGGGGGACAGGGTTAGTAATGCAGAGAAGAACTGTGAATGGTGGAGAAGGCTGAGGGGGACAGGGTTAGTTATGCAGAGAAGAACTGTGAATGGTAGAGAAGAACTGTGAATGGTGGAGAAGGCTGAGGGGGACAGGGTCAGTAATGCAACTTTTCAGACAAGCAGTTCACAGACTAGTCTCTCTCAGTGCCGCTGAATGTAATATCTAGTGGCTGTGGGAGGGATTCTATTACAGTAGGTGGCAGCTGAAGTTATGGGGACACTTGCCATTACACATATCTTAATGAGTCTTGCCTAAGAGTAGGCATTAGTGGTTGCCCGTCGTTGCTTGCCTTTATTAGCCAGAAACGTTTTCTCTCTGAGCCTCATTAAAACTAGTTTTACTTTATTATTAGGTGCCTGACTTCAGGGATAAGGGGGTAAGCCACTTGTTGGGGTTAAAATAAAATAAAAACTCTGGCCATCAAAAGATAATAGGAGACTTATAACAAGATTTAGTTATAGGCAATGTAAAATTAGCGCCACCCATGCAGATGCTCTTAAGTAGCTCATAGAATCCCTTTAAAGTATTGCTCCAGTAATGGAGGCACACAACACGCAGGTCTTTGGGCTATGAAGGGGTATCTTTACATTATCTGGGACTGTGATTTGTGCCTAAAGTCTACAACCTCTACATAAATACAACAGGCAACAACATTTGTCATTGTGAAGGTAATGTGCATTTACCTTCAATATAACTTGTGAGGTTAGACATGCTGCAAGAAACCCCAGGTTCACCCGCACTCAAAGTTCTTCATAGCTACTATGTGAATGAAGCCTCAAGTGTGCAGTCATGTACTTTAATTGCCAAATCAGCTGCTGAAGCTCTGTGCATTCTCGCTCGCTGGAATTTTAAACCATCACAGTCCTAATACATGTTCTCTCTTGGTAAGCCCTAATGAAGGGGGTATTTGTAGAAGCCCCTGAAACGTGTTGGATATTTTTATACTGTCCCCTCAACCTTACATTGAATAAAGATGCATCTGGACTATTAAAGACAATTTTACGCTTCAATTCATAATCCCACAATGTATACAGCAGTGTCGGCTATCAATAGTGTTGAAGGAAGCCCAAATAGTGACTACACTAAATCCAAGTGAACAGGTCAACTGAATAATGGTTCAAGCCACAAAATGGCAGCCTGAAATGAATGAACAGGACAGGGATGCTTAAAGGAGAACTATGGGGTCAGGGCTTTGCCGCATAGTTCTCCTAAGGGTCACGGGAGAACACAAACTAGCGTCCTCCCGTCACCCTAAGCTCAGTATACCGTGAGCTACAGCTCGTGGTATACTGAGACGCCGCAGTCGGGACCGCCCGGCTGGCTCTGCCTATCTAGAGACTTCCCGATATACCGAGCTGACCTGTGACAGTTTCATTGTCACAGGTCGGCTCAGATTATGAGGCTGAGTGAAGTTACTCGCCTCATAATTCTCCTTTAAGACACAATATAAAAGTAAATAGTCACTGCATGCTAACTGAACAAACAAATCACAGTACAAACCAAAACCATAAATGCAGCGAAGAAACACCAAGTAGAAGGGTTCTATTATCATTATAGTAAGCAAAGAATCTGCAAACAACACTGACAGTGAACGGCAGGGGTAGCCGAACTCTGGTGCTCCAGTTGTGGTGAGACTACAAATCCCATCATGCATCTGACTCTGAAGTTATGCCTGTAGCTGTAAGAGTCTTACAATGCCCCATGGGATTCATAGTTTCACCACAGCTGGAGGGTCGAAGTTGAATTAAACCTGATGTAAGGCTTCACAATGTAAAGATTAAGGAGGATGGGATGAAAAAAGAAAAAGAGGTTTACCTGTGTAGATTGTTCTGGCCGGAGGGCACTACTCCAAGATTGGCAGTGGCTAGAAACTTGTGCGCTACAGTCTGCGGAGTGCTGTTCTGTGTAGATACTGTGATAGTGGCTGAACTCTCATTCATACCCGTCAGCTTTGCTATGAAAGTAAAAGACATAATGTGCGTGTTACTTCAGAGGCTGGACATAGAAAAGACACATGTATGTTACTTGAGATACTGACATAGAAAAGGCACAACATGCATGTCCCTTCAGAAGCTCACACAAGTCTGACTGGAAACTGAAATGAAGAGCACTAGGGACACAAATTTGCTAAAGAGAAAACCAACTAATCATACAACAGCCCAATAAAATAATGGAATCAAGTTTTGCTGCCAAGCTTCACTGCCACGGGATGTCCTCAGTCTGATGGGCAGCATAATTGAACTCACTTCCTCTGAGACCAGGTCATCCTGGACCTGTCCCCAGCCTGGTATTGGGCAGTGAAATGAGAAGCAGCACAGTGATGAGCTCGTCTCTGTCACTCTCATTTCTGCTTCTATCAGCATGCTCCTTGTCAGTACATAAATATATTAGCTACTTCCTCTGACACTCCAGCTCTACTATAGAGACTGTAAGAGGCCGAAACCAGGTCAAATTCAGGCCTGCCTGCTTAAAAACAAATAAATGCATTTAATGATGTATTAATGATTACAGACAGGGCTGTGTGCTTAATGAGATCGCCTGAGAATTCTACCTCGGGCCACACCCCATTCAGTCATGTGGGGCGGCAGTGCAGTGCAGTATGCCTGCATGCTGCCACCATCATTAGCACAGGTGAGCGGCACACGGCTTGCATGTCTGTACTGAAACCCAGCTGCGCTGAGTGCTGACACTGAGCTGCCGGTACAGCAGCCTCTTGAAGGCAGTGTGTGCCTTGCCGCCCGCCTACACAGTGTCTGAGGCATTCACTGTCTGGTAGCCCTGCACTAACCAATATGGCAGTAATTACACCTGTTAGTTACCAACATCTAATTTGCTTTTAGATAGCCAATCACATGCTGAGCTGATTCCACCCCAGTTGGGGTGCTCCAGCTGTACTGCAATGTGTGCTGGTGAGCCGAGTGCTCTCCGGAGGTAAGTAGGCAGTCCGTAATATACTGTCCATGGGTGAGACAATTTATTTTTTTACTTCTTAAACATTTCTTTTTGTCAGTGGGTCCTGGTGCTGGGAGCACTAATGTGAATATGAGAGGCTCTATTTCCAGGGGGAAGCTTGTTTAAATACTACCATGACTGTATTTCAGCAACTCTACCTACATGTACGCAGTCATTGAGAGGTTCAGATAACGTATGCAAAATAAAATGTAAGTTCAATCTGCAGGTTAAAGGTCCTGGGCTGCAGAAAGCGTCCTGCTGGGGGGATTATTCTGGTGTAGGATGTATTTCAAATCAATTTCATAAACGGAACTCATGTCATGTACTGAATTTTCCCTGTATGTAATTGGTAAACCACAATAAACAAGACATTTTCCTAACACTGGCTTCCCAATTAATCGTATTGATGTTTTTATATCTTGGATACAAATGTATATGTTTGTGTGTTTTTAAATTTCCTGTTACGTAAAACAATACAAAAAATAAGTAATATATTAATTATGATTGGAAATAATTCAATAGATTTTTTCCACAGATCCTGTGTTTCACCTAAATAGAATTTGTGTTTAGCTTTATTTTTTTCCCTTTAGACATTTAATCAAATTAAATTTAAAGATTCTAAAAATAACCAATTTGAAAAAATTATTTCGTCTTTAGTTTTGCAATAATTGTCAGTAGACAAAATTGCTTATCTTCTAAACCTAGCATCCAGAATTTATTGAGTGTGCCCCCCTACTTTTAAATCAGTAGGAGTCAGTGGGTAGATTGCCGTTTGTGCCTGCCCACACAGTTATGACATGCTAAAAGGGATAAGTAGCCATCTTGTACAAGACATGAAGTTATAGTTAACCCTAAGAGGAATATTTAATCTAGGAACATTCGAATAACTACATTTGCCTGTATCCATAAAAACCAAATCAAGGCAACTGGACTTGCTGTATTTTTCTTGAAGATGTTTCGTTGGTCATCCAACCAGCTTTCTCAATTCAGAATGACTTGTACAAAAATTCACTGGGCATTTTGTACAAGTCATTCTGAACTGAGAAATGTGGTTGGATGACCAACAAAACGTCTTCAAGAAAAATACAGCAAGTCCAGTTGCCTTGATTTATTTTTTACAGATATGCCATGACCTGGAAGAATGAAAACCTTTACAGACATACATTTGCCTGCCTTGCCTCTGCAGGTTTATACTAGCCCGACACGAAACTGAGGCAGTACTGGTGAACAGCACCAAAATTAAATAATAATTTTAAATCTCAAATCCTCATTTGCAAGGTATTGAATATTTGTGGTGTTAAGTGACCGCAGTGGGCCCACAATATCTGTGAATCTTAATTTGTGCATTCTCAATATTACTAAACTGACCAAAGCCGGTGGAAACTGGGGCCAGAAGGTGATGAAGCAACTTCCCAACCAGGCAGTGAAACTTTGTAAAGTGATAATTTGACATTTTACGACTGTGCAAAGTGTTTGTTTACATCAGGTTGTAGCTTTTTTTTAATTGCCTATGTGGTTAGCGTATAGGCAAAACTTGCTTACCAGAGTTCTTCTTTAAAGTTGAAACATGGCAAAATTGCTCAGTGGTCACAAGTGTAAGCAAAACAAATCTTGCTTTTCCAAATACTGTACAGTAAAACAGCATTTTCCATCTTCATCAATCAATTTTCAGCTCAAGGTAGCAGTTAAAAATAATATATTTACCTACAGAATTTACTACAGTAGGAAAACTCAAACCGAGATATTTTATATTACGCATAAAATGTAAGGAAATGTTCCATTAACACACACAGAAAACCATAAAATTCTTTTGGCGTTCTATATTAAATGCACAGTATAAATAAAATGCAAAGCCAGAAGTGTATATAGCGTGTTGAATACATCCCACAAAAAAAATTACATGGCAAAAGATCATATTAAAAGCACGGTCTCCATTTGGAATACTTTGCAATAAGAAAACCAAGCAATGATCATGGCAGACTTGGAGAATCTATCCAGTCAGCCAAAATAATACATATTTGTAGTACCACGTGTCGTCATAAGGAAACCTTTGTCGTAGAAGAGTGGTCTATACTTGGTGTGCAATATGCTGTTACCACCAGGAACAACTAATACATTGCCTCAATTAGACTAGTACTTTCCTGTGTTTTGATCTGAAAAAAGTATAAATTAAAGCTACCTCTTGTAAAAGTACCAATAGGTGGATTATTTAAACATATCTGGTAATCTGAAACTAATGGCTGCAGGTCCAGCAAACAAAGTTGGACAATGAGGATGAGAAATGAAGCATAGGCTGACAGAGATCAGGCAGAAATCGGACAGTTTAATTCATTTTGTTACTGCGGTTATATTTTCTAAAGCTTCCAAAATGTGAAAATATCTCTGGGTCCAGGGTTGCCGGACTAGAAAACCCATAATATTTACTAGGGATGCACAGATACTGGTTTTTCAGTATCGAGCACCGATATTTTTTTTTGGTACTCGCCAATACCAAATGTCCCATTAACGAAGCCAGGGGGCGTGTAATGATTCGCTGCCCGGCTTCCTGATTACCCGGGTGGCGTGTAATGACTTGCCGCCCAGCTTCCTGAATAGCCAAAAAGCCATCTCCATGCTCCTCATCACCATGCACGAGGGAGCATGTAGCTGGCTTCCCGGCGAATCAGGAAGCTGGGCGATGTGTAATTACTTGCTGCCCGGCTTCCTGGTACCAGAAGTATCGGGATAGCATTGGCAGAATTTGGGCGAGTACATGTACACGCCCAAATACTCTGTATCTGCACCGATACTAGTATCGGTGCATCCCTAACATTTACCATCATCTGTGTTCTATTTAAATTTTATATTATCCCTACCAAGGAAGTTAAGCAAGGCCTTTACAAAACCAGTTTTGGGGCCAGGAGCCACTTGCCATTCCCTTGAGCAACCTCCCTCACCAAGACATCATGCTTTTGGAACAAGGTAAAAATGTATTTCTGAACGATTAGAAGTGAACATAATTAGCCTACAGAGACACCCTGCTGTCAGGGGCCTATAATAATCACAAGCTCTGGATTAGGTGTTCCCAAAACACCACATTACTAGATACCATAGAATATGAAACAATGAGTCAGCCTAGTTCACTCAAGCAGTGTCCGCAAGAAAAACAAAAGCCTAGGACAGGTAGGCTAGCAAAAGGCATAAGCCCATGGTTTAAAATACCACCAGCAAAGACCTTACTTATGACAGATCTCTTCATTAAAATTCAGAATTGTTTGGTCTGAAGGTGTCAGATATGACCTGAAGCTAGCAAATATTTTTTTTTCTCTGTGGTATAGACTGGTCAGGAGGTATTTGCAGAGGTGTGTAAGTCTTCACAAATTTTCAACTGTACAATCTAATTATTAGCAGCATAGGCCAATACTTACCTTTTATATATAAATACATGTGCCCCATATCTGGAATTACTGGGATTTTCCCAGAGTGGGCAGCAAGTAAAAAGGAATTAGAGGCCACCTTCTATACAGTGAGGAAGGGGTAGCTTGGGTACTTTTTCTACAGATTTACTTAAAACCTTTCAATGATCCTAATTTGCTGAGTGAACTACAAGCTCCAGACCAAAGAACAAAGCACCTGTAGGTTTGCCATGTATACAGGTGCATGGCACCTGTACAGTATACTCTTTTAAGCAGAGTAAATTAAAAGGTTATTTCTTATTTTGTTGAGGCTTACAGGCAGAACATAATAATCTCTTCTTAAAAGAAAATAATATATGGTCCCTATTACTTTATACACAGGAGCCCTAAAGGCTGAACTTTACTCTTAAATAGATGTGTCCATTTTATACTGTAGATCTCAATAATCTATTAACATGTTTACTCTTTGTCTTCTCTGACAACAGCATTTCTAATAACTGCCTTTGCACTATGAATGCACTGTGCAGTTCTACTTATCTGCATCAGCAATGTTTCAGGAAGATCACAATGTCGACTGAAGGCAGACATGCCCTATCACTGATATGGC